ACACATACCTGTAACTACAGTAGAGCATCGATTATCCGACTCAATTGGGGACTCAGGTTGGTCAGATAACTGAGAAAATCGGATAACCGAAAAGAAGGAAAAAATACATTATTAGTATAGTATATTAGGATATTAGTANCTCCCTCCCACTCCCTCCCACTCCCTCTCCCTTCTCTACCCCACTCCATACCTTCCTTCCTCTTGTGGCTAAGTCTACGGACAGCCCTCTACCTTTATTCCAGTCCAGTACAAACTCACTTTGGATGAAAATCACTATAACATAGGAGCAACTTTTGATTTCTCACTATTTCAGCAGAGCATGGTGTTTTCGAATGTTTGTATAATATTTGTAAACAATAGACGTGTAAACGATTTTATATAAAAGGATAAAAATAAAAAGGCTAGACTACAAATTATTTTGCTTTTTTTACCTGTTTTGGAGCATACTAGCATTTTTGTTTCAGTACAATAATCCAAGGAAATTCAAATAACAATCATTAAACGAAACATGATTGTGTTTAATGATTTCGTTTCGTTTAATGATTGTTATTTGAATTTTCTCAGATTATTATGAATTAACTATCATAGCATTGAAGTAAACAGAAAATGCACTTCGTGGTGTAATATTTCATATAAATTTTCTCAAATAAAAATACCAAATAAGTTAGGAGTTTAATTATAATCTGTAAAATAAAATTCGATGTTTCTATTAAACAACATAATTTCTTGTTTTCGGATAATTGGAAATTTAGAATAAATTTTTCGAGAAAAGTCGTGCATTCTATCGAAAGATACTCCCTGAATATCAAAAACTATTGTTAGTGTTCATATTTTTGATAGTAAACTCTGATTTAAAATAATTAAAAACTTTCAATAACAACATTCTAACACTTCTAACATTTATTAACAATAAAAAAAAAACGGAAATTCCAGAAAATACTCAACTACTAAATTTAATATGAATAAAAATTATTAATATTTTTTATTAATCCAAAGAGTACAGTACATTAAAAATTAAATTATTCGAATTTCGTTTCTGTAGTGAATGAGAAAACGTTATTTGAAACACTTTTGAAAGATTAAAAATATTAAACAATTACTTTTTTTTTAAATAAGTTGAATTTTAACTAGACGTTTCGATATTTGATATTCATTTGATAGAAACAAAAGTCATTGTCAGAGTTATAAAACTGGATATAACGAAGAAAATCTGAGGTCGTTTACCTTAAGAATTACTCTATTGTTTTGAAAATTGTGTTGTTCCGTATTACTTATTGTGTGGCATACTGTACACATTGTATCGAGTTAATAAGTCAATTACATATAGAATTATTGTTGAGATAATGTACAATAATGTGAGAATAAAAACCTTTTCATTAAACCCATGGATTTAATGAAAACTAAGGGGAGAAACAGTTTTCATTACGCCCATAACCATATAGAAAAGTTCCAAATGTAAGGTAATGACTGGGTCACTGTGTAATTTGGGTCACTTATTTTCAGGAGTCAGAATAATCATTATTTAACTCCTAAATTGTAAAAATATTTGAGAATTAGAATTGCGTGTGTACAATAATGTACAATAATGTGAGAATAAAACCGTTTTCATTAAACCCATGGATTTAATGAAAACTAAGGGGAGAAACAGTTTTCATTACGCCCATAACCATATAGAAAAGTTCCAAATGTAAGGTAATGACTGGGTCACTGTGTAATTTGGGTCACTTATTTTCAGGAGTCAGAATAATCATTATTTAACTCCTAAATTGTAAAAATATTTGAGAATTAGAATTGCGTATTGAGTAGATTAGATTGATCTTGCCATACACTTTTAAACAAAACTTGGTTTGTCTTGGTTTAAGTTGCCGTTTTGGAGATTTTTACTTCCAGATTTAGAGGTTATTTTCGTATCTAGAAATGGATTTGGAAGCGAGTTATATTTAGAAGTATTTCTAGAAATTTGTTTCTAAGGGTAGTAATTTTTGTATGTCATATAAAAGCTTTCGTGTAAATTAATAAAATTCCAAATCAAAAGTAAAACTCTTTTTTAAATTAACTGTCAGTTGCCATTAGTTAAAAGGAAAAACAGTACACAGGAAATTGTATTCCATGTTACCAAGGTTAGGGAGGGACTTCTAAAACAGGAAATTCAGATATAAGTTAAGGAAGAAAAGAATATATTTTGAAAGTTAAGCATGAATTAAAATTACGAAAACCTGCAAAAAATTTGTTCTTTCAAAACAAATGATCAGATTAACTAAAGGAAAGGCAGCAGCAGGAGCAGAGGCATATGAAAAACAAAACTTGACTTTAAAATTGAAACGCTAATAAACATATCAATTATTTAAATGAAATGTTTAATGTTTGAATGGTACAGTAGTTGTAGTTATTGTTATTATTTAGATGTACACATTTTTTTTAAACTGATAACAATCTAAAGGCTTTTTTTGTCAATCTAAAGAATTTTCTTTCATATTTGGAGGTTTCTGGAGGTAATCTGCTCCATATTTGGAGGTAAAGTTTTACACAAGACAACAACAGTTCTTGAGACAGTGTATGGAATTATGTACTCTGAGCTGAAAAAACACAGATTTCAAGGAAACTTCATATATGCAAGAATAGTTTGTAATTAGTTAACTTCAAAAATTGATGTATGGGACAAAAAGTTTATGGAACATATACTTTCTCTCCTATTCGTCAATACGTGTTCCCATTGTAAGTTACTACTTTTAATTTCTTCAAAAAAGCAATTGCTGGGAATAAGTTAATCCAGAATTTTAATGCTCTCCTTTCACCAATTTACTGTCTTTCAGATTAAACACAAGTTACTTTTGAGAAACAATGTTATTGTTTTGTCGAATATAAGATGATCTTAAGTGATTATAAGTTGTTCTAATTTCTAAACAGTTTAGTTAATTAATTCTTTCTGCTAATAAGACCACCTCGATCAGATTAAAACTTACACCTGTTGAGTTTTATCGCTGCTTTCCCATATTACTTCTTATTATTGAGATACCAAGCGTTCTTGTCTAAATTTACCTGATTTAAAATGAAAGTGGTGTAAGGTAAAACCTCTGATGATGGTCATCGTTACTTATTTTTATGCTACAATAAAGGTTGTACAAATAAATCCTTTGCACTTACATAGTTTAGTACATAATTTAAAGTCCTCTCTATTCCGTAAAGTGTCAATTTAGTTAACGAATTCGTTATGATGTTATTTAAAATTTATCAAAAAAGCTGAAAATGGCAATCATTGGAGATCATAGAGTTTTGATGGACACCCTGGTACAATGGCGGCCATATTTAACCACGTTATAGGTTAAATGTGTGTATTTTTTATTATAAAACTATCATTTCAACATAACTTACAACTATAGTTATTTAAAGCAAACTTACCAAAAATTTTAATTATGAGATAGATCAAAAAACAAAGTAATCTCTGTTACAAAATTATTATAGCAAAATATTGATATACAGTTTCCTGGCGTTAATTTGCAGAATAAAGTTGATGCAAACAATCTTCTCAAACACAACACTGCTGCATTCATCAATTGCCGATGTCATTGTTTTCGCAAGAAGGACACGTTATTTCCTTGTCGTCAGCGATAGGTAGCCCTTGATGTTGCATCGCTTTCTTTTTCTTTTGCGATTTAAATGTCTCTGACCCGTTCTCTTACTGTTATGAAATACTGTTTTCTCTTTTCCTTTGCTCTCTTTTTCCTGCTGTTTTTATCCCTTTTCCATCTAATTTTGTATTCCTCTCTTCTGCCGATTTTTTAATATTCTTTCTTTTTACTTTTATTTTAGGATGTTAATGTTATCGATTAAAGCCTTAAGGACTTCTGTTTAATTAGAGAATGTAACAATCATGTTAGGTGTGGCCATCATTCAGAATCACGCAAGTAGAAGAACATCTCGCCGAACTTTTATCAAACAGAACTGGTGGCTTTGAGTGTACATAATATAGTCTTTATTCTTAGGTTTAACAGCACCAAATTCCTTTCTTATTTCTAATCGTTTCGTGGCTTTTTCCATGAACATTACATCACCGGAATTTTATAAATTATCAATCACTAGATCACTAAAATTAATGTACGATGAGTATACGATTTTTATTGTATTTCTTACTTTAAAGAGGAAAACTATCGCGCGTAGACGGCAATTAACATCATATAGCATGCAGCGGGATATAATGTTGCTGAAAAAGATAATTCTTTAAGCTTAGATGGTCAGGTTTTACGTCATCTTGTGGAATTTTTAATTACATCTTTTCATAAGAAAACAAATTTTGTTATTAATGTGTACTAAGTATATATATGTGTGTGAGTGGCACGATTTTGTTCACCCTGTTTGAAGTTTAATAACTCCTGTGCTTTTTATCGAAAATTTCTAAAATTTTGCAGGAGGAAGGTTTGTATAGTCTACTGTATTAGGGTGATCAATGCTGTTAAATTTTGGTAGTTAAAGATAGAAAAGGTCGTGAATCCTATCTTGAATAGGGTCGGATTTAATGACGATTTTATTCGTTATTAGCATTTACAATTTTTTTTAATAAAATCCATCTCTACCCTCAAAATTAAAGATTTTGCCACTTTTGCCACTTCGTAATAATTAAAAATATATAAAATTTTTAATAATATAATATCATACAGATGGCGCCACCAAAATTTTACATGTTGCCGGGAAATTTAAGTAACTTGTTACTGGATTTTTTCTTTTCTTCATATTTATTTTAATTTTTAATTATAAGCTGCGCCATCAAGTGGCTGTATGGACTCCCCAAAAAATCACAAGTAAAACAAATAAAAATAAAAACATAATTACAAAAACAAACGTAACATAATACTGATAAAGCGAACGAGTTTTATAAGTAGAGATCCGATTTACAGCCTTTTAAATTTTAAAAATTCATATGCAAAATTTTCAAATTTTAATATCGCTTGACAAGCTCAAAACTGCTCGTCCGAATCTTCGAATTCTCTTTTCAAATTCTCTCTCCGTTCTATTTTTGAACTTTTCTTCTTAAATTCTCACTTCAAAATTGCTTTTTAAAATACGTCATTGCCGATGCAGTTTCGTTTGGATACTGCAGTAAAGATCGACGAATTTAACGTATTTTCAAATTGAATTTATTATTATTTTCATATGGAGATTTTGACTCACCTAGAAAAACATTCTCCAGAAAAAGAGTAAGCATTTTTATAATTAACAAATTTAAAAAGAAGTTAAACGAATAATAATAATTTATGAAAGTAATGTTCTGATTAAAATTTAGAACGTTATTTACTTTCGTAAAGAATTTGCAATTTGAACGTTACAGATGTTTTTCAAAATAACTTATTTAGTATTGATGTAACGAATATTCGGTTACTATTCGGTATTCGGCCTATTCGGCCTATTTTTCACTATTCGGCCGAATACCGAATATTTAATCACTATTCGGCCGAATACCGAATACCTAAAAACAGGAGTNTTATAACCGCATTACGTATCTTATTACAAATTTCTATACTACACGTGAGAAAAAAAATAAGATCGCTATTGTATATTCGAATATTAGTGGCGGAGGAAAATCTCTGTATTGTCAGATTCCAAAAAGCCAGATTGGCGCACGAGCTTTACGGAGCACCAACCTCACCCGGTTTAGCCGGTGGATGCCTACGACCTTGGGTTGATGCTACGCGTATACCGCATCCGATTCTATCCGGGACCGGTTCCGGGCCGTTAGCCACCCTCGCTCGATTACGCGAATCGCGAGTAGATTTATAACTTCACCCGACTGATAAGAATTTACCGGTACGTTTTTACGATAGTTCTGTATAGTTGACGGGAGTTTTAAAAAAATGCATTAAAATATTTGATACATTTATTCCGATCTCCAATTTTATTTTACTCGCGGATTTCGATACTAAACCAATATTACGATTTCGTATATCCCATCTTTAAGGGGATGTAGAAAAAAACGTGTACAATTCTTGTATAATGTTAAAAAATTAACCGTTACTTTGGTAGCATAATTTACGACTAAATTTAATGAACGAGAGAGATGCACGTGGTACAGAAAAGGCTCTAGAATTTATTTTCCTTAAATTTACGATTTATGTATCCGTTTGTCGTAAAAATTTGTCTTTCCACTTTTTTCCCGAGACTACGAATATTCGAGTAAAAGTAACCGGTTTCGACTGATTTCTACTTAATAAGTAGTTAAATAATTAAGCGATTAGGGAATTGGGGACGTAAACAAAACCCCGACGAAAGAGCCGGAATATTACTTAAACAAAAGCTTAACCGAACCAATCTCTAGCCGAGTACGGTGGGGACCGATTTCTTCGAGATACTGTATTAGATGTAATAAAGACAGACATTTTTCCAGTTCGAGAGTGACCGAAAAGTTGTAAATTTTGGAAATTTCCGTGGACGACACCCGGTCCTAAAATGAATTATTTAGAAAACAAATGACTATTAAGTTTAACATATTTAGATTTTTACGGCTATGGTGAGAAACGTTTAAAATCTACAACGGCCCCGTCGCGTCCTTTGAGATACACTAATGATGCGACGAAAGAGTTATTTCGCAGTCCGCGCGTATGCACGCTCCGCAACCGTCTTCGATTCCATCCATTAGCCACTGATAGGGAGCTATTTGACCAAGTGCATTGTTCTAAGATTTAAAAAGTAAAGAATATTTTATTTTTTTATGTATGTTTCTTAGCAAAGCTATATTTAATTATAGTCTTATTTAAAAGTATATTTATATAATTGAAGAATATTTTGTACCAGGTATGTACCGGTACGTCCACCACGTATTTTATTTCACCGAGTAAGTTTTTATTATTTTATTTTTAATCGTAGCCCTTATATCGTGACTAGCGATTCGGAATGTAATTGTGACATTAAAAATGCATTTAGGGAAGTCTACGGTTTTTACTGGCTTATCGAGTAAACGATACGAATGGACTGACGCGCGATTGACCGATTGCCCCTGGATATCGGCTTCTTACAGAAACACACCTTCCCTATATGAAATGTCACGGCACGCCCCTGAAGCGCAGACCTAACACCCGTAACGATCGGAGTGATTTTATAGGTAGAGCTTGCCGCAGTGATTACAATATCGCCGACCAAACGAAAAATGTTTTATCTTTTGGTTTTTTAGAAATGATACCTTTAACCCGTGTTTTTATATAAAACGACTTATAGTTAAACAGCCAAATACATTCTAGCAACGAGTTGCTTAACTTTCCCGGCATCATTTGGTGGCGCCATCTGTTACGATATTTAATTTAAAAACCTTTTTATATTTTTCCTTGCAGTACTATAAAACGGCGAAAAGTTTAATTTTGTGGATAGGAATAGGTTTTAAAAAAATTATAAATGCTAATAATGATTTTGCTCCTCCGATCCTACTGAAAATATACAAGACCCCCTTTATTTCCCACCCTTCGACCTTCAACCACCAAATTTAAATAGATTCGACTCCCTAACAAACAAACCTCCAGGCAAAATTTCAGAAATTTTCGACAAAAAGCACAGTTGTTGTTAAGTTTCAAAGAGAGTAAACCCACGTAAGCTAGCATTCGTACATACAGAAAACAAACCTGAATTTTTTTGCACTTGTGAAAATTTCGAGGTCCCGAGTCATTTTTTGACCGATCACCATACTTCCCGTGTTATCTATAACTGCCGAAAAAAGTAATTAATCTCACTTAACCACCAAGCGAAAGACAGACTACAGGCAATGATTTTTTTCACATTTCGCCGACAATATTCGTTCCTCGCAAAACTTGGAGTGATACAAATAATATTTCTAGATTTTACGAGCCGTCAGAGGCGGAGACACACTCGGCACCGAGCGTACATTTTTTAGGTAAGGAAATTCAACCCATCAAAAACGAATTTTCGTTTCATTTTTGTTTTGTCAGACGTTGAGTACCCAACGTAATCATAACGAAAGGGAATGTGGGGAAAGAGTACGTAGTTTTGAATTTTGCATTAAGCCACTCAGTTTGCAGTTTTTTAAACTCTAACTATACAAAACAATACAACACACCTTTAGCTTTTACGAGTGTTTTATTTCTTTAATTAATATATAAGACATACACAAAAGACAATGTTTATCGTAATCTTTTCTCACGAAAAAAATATCTTAATTTTTATATTAACAAGAATCACTAATTCTCCCGATCCTTCATAACAAGTACTTTGCTCACGCGTACCGTACTTTACGCTTCCGCTATTCTTCCCATCGAAGTTCTTCACACAGTATTTTTCATTGCAGATGCGACTTTGTTAACACAGTTTTTGCCTTTTCAGAGATTACTTTTGGTAATTTGCTGGGAATTATGCTGATTCTAGGAGTTGCTGTTAGCGAAAACTTTGCTTAAATCTCCAAAAAGATGTCGAAATGCAGTCAGGATCCCGTAATTAACATCAAATAAACAAATGAGTCAAGTATATTTCTACCGTTTCGGCCTGGTAGTTCAACGACCATGGCAATTCACAAAGCCACCCGTTTCATTGAGGAAGCCTGGGACAAAGACCAGCATGCCTTGCTGGTAAGCATAGATTTTAAAAAGGCTTTCGACCACCTATGGTGGCCGTCTATCACGAATAGCCTGAGGACCTATGGATGTCCGAAGAATATATACGACCTACTAAATAGTTATCTGAAGGACAAAACGGCTGGCTTCTTCTTGGGAGGAATGAACATCATTAAACAAGTGAACAGAGGATGCCCCCAAGGCTCCCGTAGCGGCCCCGGGCTTTGGAATCTGACTTATGATAACCTCCAGGACACGATTCAAAACACAGACAATATAATGATACAAGGCTTCGCAGACGACACTCTTCTAATGATTAGACACCAAAATTGTAATACACTAGAAAGGAAAAGTAACGAGATCCTAGAAAAAATACACAAATGGAGTCAAAGCCACAAGCTCCCCATAAATTTCAAGAAGTGCGAAGACCTGGTCTGCACAAAAAGATCAAAAAGGAAGCAATTACAAAGGCCACTCTATATATACATGAATGGACATAGAATAAAGATAACCTCCCACCTAAAGTACCTAGGTGCTATCCTCGATTCAACCCTGAGTTGGAAGCAACATATAGAGGAAATTTGCAAGAAGGCAAAACAAAGAGCGAATATGCTATATCATATAGCCAGAAACACGTGGGGACTAGGCGCAAAAAGCTGCACTACCATTTNCAGATAGGACGTCGGTATAAGTCACAGTTATGATTTTACAAATTTGAGACAGCTTGATAGCCCGAACGGCCCCAGGCTTTCGCCCGTGCACGCTAAGTGACTTTCAGTACAAACATTTAGCTTTCCGAAGTCTATGACAACAATTGTTTGCCATTGGCGGCCACGAATTTCGTGTCAATAAGCTGCCTCGACTTGTTCGATTATGTTATCGACTCAATTTCATATTTATTTTCACATTTTCACTTCGCGATCCTTCTCTGTTCTTTTTCTTATTATTTACACGTGTAGGTCATTTCATTGTTATCCACATTTGATATCATCATTTATAACATAGGCCTACTTCCATGACACTGTTGTCTGTAGCTAGAACTGCAAGAATTAACGCGATTGGCGAATCGTAGTGACAGCGGGCCAATAAAGAGCAGGATCCTTGCCATAACGCGGTTTGCGCGCGAATTTTCGTACGTGCGTTAAATTAATCAAGCCGAATAGTTTGGCCGAATATTCGGCTATTCGGCCACGCTCCTGGCCGAATATTCGGTATTCGGCCTCAGGCCGAATATACCATTCGTTACAACACTATTATTTAGATAAAACGTCCGTAATGATTCACTGAATAAAAGGCTGATTAAATTAAGAATATATTTTTCGGTTGTAAGATTTCATTGGTCTTTGATGAAAGAATTTATATAGTTACAATGTTCAATTGAACAAAATTTGTCGCCCTCGAGCCAGCAAAATTTGGATCGTAATATAGGCTACGTTATTTATTCAAAAGTGAGTACAGTAAAACTTCGATTTAGCGGACAAAATTTCCGGTCCGTATGTTTTTTGTGAAAATTAACAAGATGTTAATTTTTAAAATCTTTTAATATGTAATTAAATTACTGTTTTTTTTTTCAAATCCATAATTCACTGCTTTTCACTTCACGCCACAATAGGAATGTCTCGTTAAATCAAAAGAAGACGAATTAGTAG